ATGTTCTTGGGGTCTGTGGAGGAAGTATGGGATAAAAATATAAGAGAGGGGCAGCAAAGGGCAACTGAAATTATTTAGGAGCTGGATTGTTTCAGCTGCCTGGTCATATTTAGTGGCAGGGTGGTGAAAACCCTTTCGGTGCATGCAGGGGTCATTTCGTAGAAAAAGAGGTGCCGGAGCTCATTAGCATAACATATTAGCATAACTCATTTGCATATGCCACACCCCCTGACATCACCGGAAGTGTGTCAGAAGGCAACACCCACCGCTCAGGTTCCACTGGACTGTTTTGGATTGCTAGCTATTGGGGGGGGGCGGAACGTGCAGATCTGTCCTCGCAGAGGAGGGAGAGCTTGTACCTGAATAAAACTTGGTCTTAAAGGTGCCACTGGACTGTTTTGGGCCGGGGGGAGCTCTGCAACTTACCTGGCTGCTTCTTGCTCTGACTGAGGGCTGCTGGGAGCAGGGGGTGGGGTTTGTTGCATGTGCCCGCCCTCTGGGCTCTTTACTGCCGGAACTCCGCTCCTGCAGGAAATGACTCCTGAGTGCTCGTCGGTAGAAGGATCACGGATTTTTCATCCACCACCTGTGGTAACTCAATCAAGGGATGATGTCGAATGTTGCCTGTGAAACATTTCTAGGCCTGTATCGTAAAAGGGGCTGAGCCATTGAGACGGGCAGGGGGTGTGGGATACGGACACGCTGCAGAAGGGGACTGATCCCACATGTTTGTGCGGGCCATCCTGAAGCGGCGTGTGAGGGTTCGATACATTTCTCCTCAAGGCTTTTTAAATCGACTCCCTGCCCCTGACCTGGATTGCCCAGGCCAACCCGATCTCGTCAGATCTCAGAAGCTAAGCTGTTTTGGCCTTGGCTAGTATTTGGAAGGGCGACCTCCATGGAATACCAGGGCCGTGACGCAGAGGCAGGCAGCGACAGACCACCCCTGAAACGTCTCTTGCCTTAAAAAGCAAGTCTAGCTCACCACCTAGTGGTGCGTAACGCTAAAAGAGCTAGAACTCCTGGCTGCCAAACAATCTTAGGATCTCCAGGCTATACTACACACCCTGCCTATACTCTACGCACTGAGAGCCAGTTTGGTGTAGCGGTTAAGAGTGCGAACTCTAATCTGGGAGAACCAGGTTTGATTCCCCACTCCTCCACATGCAGCTGGTGGTGTGAGCTTGGGTCAGTCCCAAGTCCTCTCAGAGCTGTTCTCTCAAGAGAAGTCCGCAAAAGAGCTCTCTCGGCCCCACTTGCCTCACAGGGCGTCTGTTGTGGGGAGGGGAAGTGAAAGGAGGTTGTAAACCACTCTGAGGGAAAGGTGGGGTATAAATCCAATCTCTTCTCCTTTTCTGTGCCTTACAATAACTATTATTAATTAATTATTATTATCTACTCCCCTTGCCCCATCAACAGATGACAGTCCCGCAGAAGGTTTTTCGCATCGCCAATGAACTTCTCCAAACGGAAAAGGCCTACGTGTCCCGTCTGTATCTGCTGGACCAGGTATAATGGATGCTTGGGAGAACCCAGAGGGGGCTGTTGCGTGGGCCCTGCTTCAAAGATGTCGTGAGGCAAAGTCAGCATCTCTCCCGCAATCCGTGTCTTAGCTGCCTCAGCCAGGCATCCGCTAGCAAGGCTGTTGTGCTGTCCGTGGACCCACGCCCCATTGGGTCCTATTGCTGTGATGTGCCCTACAGCAGGAGTCCGCAACCTTTTGAATCTGTGGGCATCTTTGGCATTCTGACACAGGGAGATGGGCGCAGCCACCAAAATGGCCACCGCCGGTGGTGGAGCCAACCACAAAACCCGGGAGCGAGGTTATATTGAACAGATAGTAACCCTTCAGTGTTGTAGGCAGAAACTCTGTTTAACACTCGCCGGATAAATGGACGATCGGAGCCGGGAGGGTACCTGGTAGGGCTCCCCCCACCCCAGATGTACTGTGGCCATAGTTAGGGTTTCTGCATAGGTCTCTGCACCATGCACCATGTAAGCCGCTCAGAGCCCTTTTGGGGGTGAGCGGGGTACAAATTGAAGTATAAATAAATAAATAAATAGAACAGGATACACAGCCCATCAGAAGCCTTACTGGGCAAAAGCCCCACCTTGCCCCACCCACTTTCTCAAAGTGGGCACCAGGAAAGTTGCCATTGCGCCCACGGGCACCGCGTTGGGGATCCATGCCCTACAGTGTGCTCCTCTGCAGAGAAGCTCCAGTCTTAAACCCAGTGGGTGGTGTACGTCCGCAAAGGACTGTGCTGTCCATAAACCTAGACTGTGGGGAGGGGAGGTGGGTGGCGGGCTGCTAGTCACGGCCTTTGAAAGCGGTTATTGAGGCCAGGCTGACTTCCCCGATTGCTGACATGCCTTCCTGCCTCCTAGGTCTTCTGTGCCCGTCTGCTGGAAGAAGCACGCAGCCGAAACTCCTTCCCGGTTGAAGTGGTGATGGGCATTTTTGCCAACATCTGCTCCATCTACTGCTTCCACCAGCAGTTCCTGCTCCCAGAATTGGAGAAGCGTATGGAGGAATGGTGAGGAAATGGATTGGCACAGTTCTCTCTGTGTGTGTGTGTGTAATCTTTCAAAGTGAAGCGTGGCATCAAAATGCGCTCTAGGCAAAGACCCAGTTTGGTGTAGTGGTTAGGAGTGTGGACTCTAATCTGGGAGAACCGGGTTTGATTCCCCACTCCTCCACATGCAGCTGCTGGTGTGACCTTGGGTCAATCACAAGCTCTTTCAGAGCTGTTCTCTCATGAGCTCTCAGCCCCACCGACCTCACAGGGTGTCTGTTGTGGGGAGGGAAAGGGAAAGGAGATTGTAAGGTGCTCTGAGACTCCGAGCGAAGGGCGGGGGTATAAATCCAAACTCTTCCTCTTCTTTTCTCTAGATAGCAGCAGCGAGTGGGTGCAGGAGTGGGTATTAACCACGTCTGCACACCCTAGTCACCAAGTTGCTCACTGCTGCCACCTACTGTCTGTCCGTCCCCCTTTTTGCCATCATATCTGTGCAAAACTGCAGAGGCAAAGGCAATGGATAACCACTGTCCCCTCCAAACTTTGCATGTGAGCGGCTGCTCATTGACACAGGAAGCCCGGCTCAGCAGCATCCTGGAGCCGCGCAGGTCTTGCACTGCCCATGGCCCCTTTTAAGATTACAACAGTTTTTTTAAAAAATATTTTTTTATTTTCCGTTTTACAAAATATAATCATACATATCTTAATATTTACATAAATATTATTGAGTCTATTATTTATTCTTTTCCTTTATCCATTTGTATACCTTTGCCCATCTTTCTTGAAATACTTTATCATCTTTCCCTTGCAATATTACACTTAATTTGTCCATTTCTGCTACTTCCAAGAGTTTTATAGCAAGTTCTTTTCTCGATGGTATTTTTTCTTGTTTCCAGTATTTTGCTATTAGGATTCTTGCAGCCGTGAGGATATAGGTTAATACATATACATCATTTTCTTTATATTCCTTGGGGATTATATTTAACAAATACATCTCTGGACACAGTTTCAGTTTAATATTTAACATTTCTCTAATTATATTCCTTATATTTTGCCAGAATTTATAAATTTTTCTACATTTCCACCACATATGGATAAATGTACCTACATTCACTTCACATCTCCAACAGTTTTTATTTGATGTTTTGTATACTTTTGCTATCTTTTCTCCTCAGGATGTGAACTGCTCTGCTCAGTAGGAAGGGGAAAAGAGGGAGCGTTAAGTGGAACCTTCCTTTCCCCCTCCCTTTCCCTGTTTTTGCCAAGCTAAATTGTAATAATAGTACAGCTCAGCAGGGAAATGGAAAACAGGCCTTTAGAAGAGAAGAAGAGCCCCTTCGGGGGCTCAAAAAAAAAGAGAGGAGAAGAAGAAAAGTTCGTGCTTTTCTCTGCCTGGAGGAGTCTCAAAGCGGCTTACCCACAGCAGTCAGTTTGTGAGGCAGGTGGGGCTGAGAGTGTTCGGAGAGAACTGGGCCCAAGGTCACCCAGCCGGCCTCATGTGTCTCAAAGCGGCTTACAGTAGCCTTCCCTTCCTTTCCCCCCAACAGCCAGCTTGTGAGGCAGGTGGGGCTGAGAGCGCTCTTGAGAGGACCCTGACTGGCCCAAGGTCACCCAGCTGGCCGCATGTGTCACTAAGCAGCTTACAATCGCCTTCCCTTCCTCTCCCCACAGCGGACACCTTGTGAGGCAGGTGGGGCTGAGAGAGCTCTTGAGAGGACCGTGACTGGCCCAAGGTCACCCAGCAGGCTTCATGTGGAGGAATCAAACCTGGATCTCTAGATTAGAGTCCTCTGCTCTTAACCACTACACCACGCTGGCTAAAACACTTATAAGGGGGGGATTCAGAGCTTAGGGAGCTATGACTATGGGGGAGCATCCAGATGGATGCTATCCACAGCCACCCTGCAGTTTCCCTTTTACTTCAGAGAAAATGAGGTGTATATTTTATCCTCTGAGTAAAAGGGGGGTGGGGGAAACAGGAGCCAGATGAATCATATCCAGATAGGGCCTGAAGTCGTATAGATTCTCTCTTTTACTGCCAGGGCTTCCTGTTGTCCATGCAGGGCATGATTCTCACGTGCCACACTTATGGTTCAGTGGCAGAGCCTCTGCTTGGCATGCAGAAGGTCCCAGGTTCAATCCCCAGCATCTCCAGCTAAAAGGACCAGGCAGGAGGTGATGATCAGGCCGGCCTGGTGTCAGGACAGAGACAACCAGGGGTGGTTAGCCATGGCCTGCCTCTGCGTAGCAACCCTGGACTTCAGAGGTCTCCCATCTAAGCACTAACCAGGGCTGAACCTGCCTAGCTTCTGAGGTCTGACAAGATCAGACCGGCCTGATGTCAGGACAGAGACAACCAGAAGTGGTTAGCCATGACCTGCCTCTGCGTAGCAACCCTGGACTTCAGAGGTCTCCCATCTAAGCACTAACCAGGGCTGACCCTGCCTAGCTTCTGAGGTCTGACAAGATCAGACCGGCCTGATGTCAGGACAGAGACAACCAGAAGTGGTTTGGCATGCAGAAGGTCCCAGGCTCAATCCCCGGCATCTCCAGCTAAAAGGACCAGGCAGGAGGTGATGGGAAAGACCTCAGCCTGAGACCCTGGCTCAGTGGCAGAGCCTCTGCTTGGCACGTAGAAGGTCCGAGGTTCAATCCCCGGCATCTCCAGCTAAAAGGACCAGGCAGGAGGTGATGGGAAAGACCTCAGCCTGAGACCCTGGCTCAGTGGCAGAGCCTCTGCTTGGCACGTAGAAGGTCCGAGGTTCAATCCCCGGCATCTCCAGCTAAAAGGACCAGGCAGGAGGTGATAGGAAAGACCTCAGCCTGAGACCCTGGCTCAGTGGCAGAGCCTCTGCTTGGCACGTAGAAGGTCCGAGGTTCAAGTGAGTCCAGCCCTGTGGGGGGGACGGGGAGCAGGGAAGGCAGGGATGCTCTGTAGTCTTGGTGCTGGGGGGAGGGGCAAGAGTTGGAGGGCTTCTGGAGTTCTGGCCCTGCTGTGGACCTCCTGATGGCCCCTGGGTTTTGGCCACTGTGTGACAACAGACTGTTGGACTAGATGGGCCTCTGGCCTGATCCACCATGGCTTCTCTTATGTTCTCATGTATGGGGCAGCAATGCTCTGTCATCTTGGTGTTTGGGGGGCAACAGTGGAAGGGCTTCTGGAGTTCTGGCCCCACTGGTGGACCTCCTGATGGCCCCTGGGTTTTGGCCACTGTGTGACAACAGACTGTTGGACTAGATGGGCCTCTGGCCTGATCCACCATGGCTTCTCTTATGTTCTCATGTATGGGGCAGCAATGCTCTGTCATCTTGGTGTTTGGGGGGCAACAGTGGAAGGGCTTCTGGAGTTCTGGCCCCACTGGTGGACCTCCTGATGGCCCCTGGGTTTTGGCCACTGTGTGACACAGAGTTTTGGACTGGATGGGCCACCGGCCTGATCCAACACGGCTTCTCTTACGTTCTTATGGCTGGGGCACTAATGCTCTGTCTTCTTGGTGCTTGGGGGGCAACAGTGGAAGGGCTTCTGGAGTTCTGGCCCTGCCGGTGGACCTCCTGATGGCCCCTGTGTGACACAGAGTGTTGGACTAGATGGGCCACTGGCCTGATCCAACATGGCTTCTCTTATGTTCTTATGTCTGGGGCAGTGATGCTCTATCTTCTTGGTGCTTGGGGAGTAAGAGTGGGAAGGCTTCTGGAGTTCTGGCCCCGCTAGTGGACCTCCTGATGGCCCCTGGGTTTGGGCCACTGTGTGACACAGAGTGTTGGACTGGATGGGCCACTGGCCTGATCCAACATGGCTTCTCTTATGTTCTTATGTCTGGGGCAGTGATGCCCTGTATTCTTGGTGCTTGGGAGGGGGGCAACAGTGGGAGGGCTTCTGGAATTCTGTCCCCACCGGTGGACCTCCTGATGGCCCCCGGGTTTTGGCCACTGGGTGACACAGCGAGCAATGAAGGGCGGGGTATAAATCCCATCTCTTCTTCTACTTCTTGTACCTGACACAGGGAGCTTTGACTCTCGAAAGCTCACACCCCCAGTCTTGTTGGTCATTAAGGTGTTACTGGACTCGCATTTGCTTAGGGTGGCGCTGCAGATGATGGCGTTTTGGGGGGGGGCACTGGCTTGCACAATTTGATTTCTGCCAATGTTTGTGTCTGGTGTTTCGGCTGCTGGCTTGGTAAGCAAGCACAGCAGAGCCTGGCCTGTCAAATTAACATCCCTTTCTCTCCTTCCCACGCTCAGAATCCCTGGAACTCATTGCCACGGCAGCCGAGCACTCGAACGCCGCCATCCGCAAAATGGTAAGAGTGGAATCCTCGATACCGATAGCATACCGCATTTGGATCTCACTGCTTTCCCAGGGGAATCAGGGTGGGCTTCCGTGGGGTTTTCTTCGCAGAACCCCGCAACCTTAAGGGGCTGGTTAGGTCAAGAAAAGGGATAAATTGACCAGAGAGAGAAGAAGAAGAGAGAGAGAGACAGACAGACAGACAGACAGACAGACAGACAGACAGACAGAGAGAGAGAGAGAGAGAGAGAGACAGACAGAGGGAGAGAGAGAGAGACTGGAATTATACCCCGCCCTTTACTACTCAAAGGAGTCTCAGAGTGGCTTACAAACTCCTTTCCCCTCCCCACAACAGACACCCTGTGAGGTAGGTGGGGCTGAGAGAGCTCTGAGAGAACTGCTCTTTCAAGGACAGCTCTGAGAGAACTTGTTACTGACTCAAGGTCACCCAGCTGTCTGCATGTGGAGGAGTGGGGAATCAAACCCAGTTCTCCCAGATTAGAGTCCACACTCCTAAGCACGACTCCGAACTGGCTTGCTGAGCTTCACAGCCTCGTGGAGACAAGAAGAAGAGTTGGTTTTTATACCCCCGCTCTCTCTTCTCTACCCTAAGGAGTCTCAAAGCGGCTTACAATTGCCTTCCCTTCCTCTCCCCACAACAAGCACCCAGTGAAGTATGTGGGGCTGAGAGAGTTCTGAGAGCACTGTGACTGACCCAAGGTCACCCAGCTGAATTAATGTGGAGGAGGAGTGGGGGATCAAACCCAGTTCTCCAGATTAGAGTCCCCTGCTCTTAACCACTACACCATGCTGGACTGCAACTTGTGTCTCTCCAGTCTCCATCCAACATCCTACCCAGCATGCTATTCTCTGTTAACTGCTGACTGTAACCCCCTTTAGGAAAGAATGCACTCATTGCTCAAGGTTTATGAACTGCTCGGAGGCGAGGAAGATATTGTGAATCCCACCAATGAGCTCATCAAGGAGGGCCACATTTTGAAGCTTTCGGCTAAGAATGGTACCACGCAGGACCGCTACCTGATCCTGGTGAGAGAACTCCCCACAACCCCCTTTAAAACCTTTCCTAACTCAGGGAGGGTGTGGAAGGAATCCTTCTGCTTTGTATGAATTCAATGTCAACTCTCCTTTTTGGCCGCCGTATGACACAGAGTGTTGGACTGGATGGGCCATTGGCCTGATCCAACATGGCTGCTCTTATGTCTGGGGCAGTGATGCTCTGTATTCATGGTGCTAGGAGGGCAACAGTTGGGGGGGGCCTTCTGGAGTTCTGGCCCCGCTGGTGGACGTCCTGCTGGCCCCTGGGTTTTGGCCACCATGTGACATACAGTGTTGGACTGGATGGGCCACTGGCCTGATCCAACATGGCATCTCTTATGTTCTTATGTCTGGGGGCAGCAATGCTCCGTCTTTTTGGTGCTTGGGGGGGCAAGAGTGGGAGGGCTTCTGGAGTTCTGGCCCCACTGGTGGGCCTCCTGATGGCTCCTGGGTTTTGGCCACTGTGTGATAAAGAGCGTTGGAGTGGATGGGCTACTGGCCTGATCCAATATGACTTTTCTTATGTTCTTATGTCTGAAGCAGTGATGCTCTGTATTCTTGGTGCTTGGGGGGCAACAGTGAGGGGGCTTCAGGAGTTCTGGCACCGCTGGTGGACCTCCTGATGGCCCCTGGGTTTTGGCCACCATGTGACAGAGCGTTGGACTGAATGGACCATTGGCCTGATCCAACATGGCTTCTCTTATGTTCTTTTTTCCCCGTCCAGTTCAATGACCGTTTGCTGTATTGTGTGCCAAAGCTGCGTCTCATTGGACAGAAGTTTGGAGTCCGTGCTCGGATAGACGTGGACGGGATGGAGGTAAGTGAAGGGGGGGGAGAATAGCAGATCACCTCCTGGGGGTCCTCTAAAGTGAAACAGCGGGGAGCATATGATTAATTTGGGGAAAGGAGCCAGCCTCACCCAGGGCCCCTGTTTCATCTTTTGGGTAGTGAAAGGGGGGGAAACCCATATATGTTTGGGCCAGACTGTGGGTATAGGGGACACAAGGTGAGTCTTTGGGTGGTTCACACGTGCATGACCATCATTTGGTGACTCGGTGCTAAATGAATGTGTGAACCCATGCCACAGAAACACGTTACCTGGGGAGATACAGAAAATTCTAACAGTGGTGTTTGACTGGCAGTGATTGATTCACGCATGCTAGTCCTCTCTTGGAGCTATGGTAGACCGAATGCGTGTGTGAACCGACGCTGTGTCTCCGTCTCTCCTCGTCTGCAGTTGAAAGAGACCAGCAGCCTCAACGTGCCCCGGACCTTTCTTGTATCGGGGAAGCAGCGATCCCTCGAGCTCCAGGCCAGGTACAGTCAGCAGTCCCAAATGCCTCTGTTGGTCCTGATCAAGGCTCCCTCTAAGCTGCGGAGTAATCCCACTTTGTGAGCCGCTGGCATTCAAGTTGTGAGCAAGCGATTTGGCTGCTGCATAAAATGAGTTTGCTCTGGAGCCGTCCCTCCCTGAGCTAAGTTGAAAATCTGTGCGGTGGAGGCTAAAAAATTGTGAGCTGGCTCACACTGACTCAGCTTAGAGGGAACACTGGCCCTGATCCGGTTGCAAGGATTTGTTGTCCCAGTAATTCTCGTCTGCTTTTCTTATCTTCCATTGGCTCACCCCGGTAGTAACTCTGTTTGCCTCCAATCGCTTCCTTCCATTTCTCCCAGTCACCACGGGTCAGGCTAACTGACACAGACCTCCCAGAGTCCACTGTGACTACCTTGGCATCATGCACCGTAACAACGTCTGTCGCTCTCTTTTAAAAAAATTATTTATTTTGAATTTGTGTATAGAAGCATCCATTGAATTCAAGTAGTATAAACAGTACGTTCAGAGAAGCAGCCGTATGAAGGATATCATGCCTGATAAAATGACAATATGCTGATTTCTTTTGGGAGACAAAATAAATTGTATATATCGTATGTTTTTATCCAGGTACTCTCCCAAGGGAAAGCCAGTTTGGTGTAATGGTTAAGTGCACGGACTCTAATCTGGGAGAACCGGGTTTGATTCCCCACTCCTCCACTCGCAGCTGCTGGATGACCTTGGGCAAGCCATAGTTCTGATAAGAGCTGTCCTTGAAAAAGAGCAGTTTCTGTCAAGAGCTCTCTCAGCCCCACCTACCTCACAGGGTGTCTGTTATGGGGAGGGGAAGGGAAAGGCGTTTGTAAGCTGCCCTGAGACTCTGAGTGAAGGACAGGGTATAAATCCAATCTCTTCTCTTCTTCTTCTTCAAAAGAGGCTATGAAGGTTTTCATAAGATGTTACAGAGCCTATTAGATGACGTATATATTGAGTTGGAAGAAAATCTGTCCTTTTAACATATATAAGTTTTGATCTGAGTATCATAGAAACGACTGCCATTTCTCAAGAAGATGACTCGTGTGTCTTTTACTATCTTTGTTTTCAAGTTGTCTTGTTATTTTATTGATGGAGAAAGAATCTGAGTATTAATGCCGATTGAGCTTAAGGGATATGATTGCTATGTTTTAGCACAAATATCTTCTCTCAGTCGTTCTCCTAAATCTTGTTCCTCAGCCTTCATGCACTTCGCTTTTCCTTCCCGGTGATGAGATCTTAGTAAGCGATATAAGGAGGAAATGGCTCCTTTGGAAAGGGGTGTGCGGACTCTAATCTGGGAGAACTGGGTTTGATTCCCCACTCCTCCACTTGCAGCTG